AAAACAAATCGGCAATCTAAAAATTAATCCTATCGAACATTTCATTGTTTTTATAGTCAAGATGAAATATCTATGTGAAATGATTTTCTCGAGAGCATTGGGATTTGCCAGGGGTGTATTTTTTCTGAGTGGTGAAATCCTGTAATCTCATGGGACAAATCCAAATTTGTTTGTTCGGTATGACATATAAATTTCTCTCCAAATAGAACAAAAAGCCCGGATTTCTTTCATCAGAGAATTCTGAACGTGAAGTGTCTCGTTACGTCACTGGACCCCAGGGCTCTTGAGGAGTTCGGGTTGCTAGGATACACCCCACGGTCAAACTCTCAAACTTGTAGGGTTTCAATGAAGAATATAGATGCCTCTAATCTTCTCGTATATTTCCTCTCTTCATTACTTTTTGAAAATTTCTCCCCTGCACGTAGAGGGGCAAAATGTCCTTTTTCTCGAATTATTTAGAGACACTCGACTAATTGATACTGCTACATCCCCATATTAACGGCAGTAAAGCCATCATTGCAATTCATCATAGAGCCTTTATCCATTTTATATTCCTGAAGTGGCGTCAAAGAGACGTTGAGGGGTTCGTTCTCCGGTAGATTTTCAATGTTCACATTGTTACGAGCTCATAAAAGTTGCGGTTCTTGCGGAAATTTTCTCTCCATAACAATGAAAATAACTGACGCCAGATTACTTCTAAGAAACTCAAACTTTAGTACTTCGGTATTACAATCAATACCGTTAGTCCAGACTGACAGTTGAAACTGTGTAACCGAATTGAGAGGGAAATAGGCTGATCAGGAGATCATTAAGTTAATCACTTGATTGCACGCTAAAAAGTGTAGCAGAGTATTTTCCTCCTCTGCTTTTATCCCATCAATCTGCAATTAATTTCCATGGATAAACATATTATTGCTGTATACATTTCATGATCGATTTCCAGAATCCGGAATTTACGACTTTCAATTGAAGAGAATCATCAAGACTTTATGCCATTGACAGATTTTACTCAAGAGATTGAAGTGACGAGTGTCGATTGAATGTTGACCTTCTCATGTCGTGATAATAATTGCAATTAAGTATGCAATGTGTTATTGAGGGACAATGGATTTATGAAAAGTCGTTGAGCCTCTTCCGCGTGATTTGGTTGGGGATTGGAGGGTCAGGATAGCCAGCTGGGTGGGCTGAATATACTTGGTGAGAGCATCAGAGAGGGAATACGAACACCTTTTGCCTTCAGCATCGTACGGTTAAGGAACACAACCGTCAAGCTACGGGGCGAGAGGCAAAAAGGGAGAATAAATACAGTGCAAGGAGGAATGAAGTGACGGAGGAGCAAGAAGAGGACGCTGAGAGAACGAGGTGGTTTACCTTGGTATAAAGGAATAAAACAGGAGAAAAAGAGAGAGAAAGAGAAAGAGAGAGAGAGAGGGAGCGAGAGGGAGGGAGAGGGAGGGAGAGAGAAAAAAAAAGACTTGAATAAGAGGGAACCACAGCCCGTAGGAAAAGGAAAAAGATGGAGTGGAGGGAAAAATTCCTCGAGGATCAGGTAGCCCGAATGAAAGACTGCTGAAGAAATTTCTTCATCCTTCCTCGATCTCGTGTTTCAATGACGGAATTCCAGGGTAATCTGGGCTATTCCCGGGAATATCACAGCAAATGCATTGAAAAATATTAAATTGTTTAGCTGTGGCACTTGTATAACTAGAAAGTGTTAACGAGCGTGTGGTAGACCCGGGTTGAGCTTAATCTTACTCAAGTAATAAAGTGGAATCCGAGAAGGCTCGACGATTTCAACCTAGGGGTCGTAAATTCCCTGTCCTCACTCTTCCTCTGCTCTCGTACAACCGCACTATTCCCGATTCTCCAAACCCAGACTACACCATTCACTTCAATCCTATTGGGCGAAATCCTTTTTAGGGTGTCCCTAAACTCTACAAATAACAAGGATTACCCAGTGTCATTTAAATATCGAATAGACCCCTGATTCGGTTGATTATTTTTTGATGGCGATTTTATATTGTCTGTGGAAATTTCTTACCTTTTTTTTTAGAATTATTGAAGGGCTCGGCAGGTATTATTGAATTATTGCGGAAATAAAATTTGAAAAATCGTCGTTTTTTCTGGGTTCAGATCAGATTTTTAATGTTCGATTTTCGATGAGAAACTCCATCTTCGGCAATGTCTTGTCAATCGATTTTTTAAAACCGACGATCCTGGTGGAAAGTGCCATCTGTGAAGCACGATGATTAATAATATTTTATATTCACCACTCAGTCGGTATGTCGATTTTTCGGAATGGATTTGAATAATTAGTACAATGAATATTTGGACTTTGGAAATAATCTGCTCTTTTGTCAGAACGAGTTTCTTTTGAGAATTAAAAATTTTTATGAATGAATTTTCACATTCCCTCATTTAACCTGTATTTTCAGTAAAAAAAATACAACCGAAAAATTTCAAAGAAAAATGTATATTATCATGAACTCATAATTAATGGAATTGATTAATCGATTTGTTTTTGATCGATGATTTCGTCGATTTTGTGGTGTAATTTTTGCAAAACGGATTTTTAGGGACGTCTAGTCGTTTATTTGACTAGTTTTTTTGAATTCCGGGAATGGCAGGGCAGAATGCGCCATGACTGTCATGGCCTTTTCCTGTTCACGCTTACTCTGATGAGGACGTGAGCATCCATTATAAGGTAAGATAAATTCAATTGTGTGGT